GGAAGGAAGGAGGGTTGAAATAAAAGAAGGGAAGAAAGAAGGAGGGAGAAGGATTGGAATAAAGGAAGGGAGGGGAGGGAAGGAGGGTGGGAAGGAAAGAAGGAAGGAATGAGGTGGAAGGAAGGAAGGAAAGAAAGGGGAAGAGGAAGAGGACGGAAGGAAGGAAAAAGAAAGAAAGAAAGAAAGAAAGAAACAAAGAAAGAAAGAAAGAAAGAAGGAAGGAAAAAGAGAAAGAAAGAAAGAAAGAAAGAAAGAAAGAAAGAAAGAAAGAAAGAAAGAAAGAAAGAAAGAAAGAAAGAAAGAAAGAAAGAAAGAAAGAAAGAAAGGAATTCTACTATTAAGAGTTTCTGGATCACTTCGCCTTGAGATTAATGTAAATATTACCCTGCAGCTGTACTCAGTGCACAAAGTTTTGTATGTGTGTGTGTGTGTGTGTTACTTTGCTTCCCAAACTGTCTATTTTCCTATTATTGCCCCAGAATGATGCCACCGGATCGTGATTATTTTGAATGGCTCAAATTGCCTGGTTAGTTGTGAAGTCACATTCCCCTCCGGGTTTTAGTTAATTAAGATTTATGCAACATGGCTTCCCTTGTTGAGCAACCATTGGCATCTTTTTTGGTTTCTTTAATTCAAGGCCTTCTCCAAGAGCTGAAGACCCCGAGAAGACTCGCCCTCTCTCTTTTTCTCTCCACAACTCTTTTCCTCTCTCACAACTCCATCCACACAACTCATATTCGCCCGCGGGCCCCTCGGTGCTGTCTCCCTTTCTCTGCCTGACGTGCTTTCTAGCCCCCTCAAAATTGCCCAGGGTGACTTGGGCAGAGTTTTTTTTTTTTTAAATAAATGTGGCATAATTGAGCTGTCTGGCAATAGTTCCGTTTTTATCACTTGTGACAATGATGGTCTTTAAAGAGGTGTATTAATTCACCCGCAGAGGCATTGTGCAATGTCATAAATAACCCGGCACATCATTAAAGTGGGCAATAAACTTTGGGGGTTTCAGGCTATGCCATTAGGATAAAATTCTGGAAGTTCTCAGGTCTGCTGTTGCCAGTTGAGAGAGAAAGAGGGAGGGAGGGAAGGAAGGGAGGAAGGTTGGAATAAAGGGAGGGAGGGAGGAAGGAAGGAAGGAAGGTTGGAATAAAGGGAGGGAAGGAAGGAAGGAAGGAAGGAAGGAAGGAAGGAAGGAAGGAAGGAAGGAAGGAAGGAAGGAAGGAAGTCTAACAACCTCTATAATCTTGAGATGCCCTTGAACAAGAAGGAAGGAAGGAAGGAAGGAAGGAAGGAAGGAAGGAAGGAAGGAAGGAAGGAAGGAAGGAAGGAAAAAAGCNGGAAGGAAGGAAGGAAGGAAGGAAGGAAGGAAGGAAGGAAGGAAGGAAGGAAGTCTAACAACCTCTATAATCTTGAGATGCCCTTGAACAAGAAGGAAGGAAGGAAGGAAGGAAGGAAGGAAGGAAGGAAGGAAGGAAGGAAGGAAGGAAGGAAGGAAAAAAGTCTAACAACCTCTATAATCTTGAGGTGCCCTTGAACAAGAAGGAAGGAAGGAAAAAGTCTTAACAACCTCTATAATCTTGAGGTGCCCTTGAACAAGAAGGAAGGAAGGAAGGAAGGAAGGAAGGAAGGAAGGAAGGAAGGAAGGAAGGAAGGAAGGAAGGAAGGAAGGAAGGAAGGAAGGAAGGAAGGAAAAAAGTCTTAACAACCTCTATAATCTTGAGGTGCCCTTGAACAAGAAGGAAGGAAGGAAGGAAGGAAGGAAGGAAGGAAGGAAGGAAGGAAGGAAGGAAGGAAGACATCGCTGTGCTTCCCAAACTGTCTATTTTCCTATTATTGCCCCAGAACGACGCCACCAGATCCGGATTATTTTGAATTGCTCAAATTGCCTGATTAGTTGTGAAGTCACACACTCCCCCCAGTTTTAGTTAATTAAGATTTATTCACCACGACTTCCCTTGTCGAGCTGGCTTCGTAGCCCATCCGCATCTCCTCGCTCTCCTCTCATGCAAGACCCTCTCTCTTTTCCTCTCCCCACATCCTGCTCGAACCCCGGAAGAGTGTTCAAACTGCTAGGGGAATCCGTTTGATTATCTCTATTGTAGCACCCACTCCCTTCCTCCCTGGCAGACGGCTTTCCAAGATTGGTTTAAAACTCTTCTGTTTAACAAAAAAGATATCAAATCCCCACTTTCCACCATCACACACCCCCTTCCAGTGACAGACAAGAATCAGCCTTTCCTAGAATTGTCCACCCATTTTGCTTTTCCTTCTGACATGGCGATATCAGGCTACTTTTTTTCCCCCAATCCTTCTGCAAATGAGATTTCAGGCAGTCCTCGGCTCTTTTAGCGACCGCTCAAAGTTACGACGGCACCCGACGAAGGGAATCGTGGCCACTTTTCACGCTTTAGAGCCGCTGCGGCGTCCCTTGGTCAAAATCGGAAGGCTTGGCAACTGACCTGCACTCAGGACGGTTGCAGCCTCCGCTGGGGAATCGCGTGATCCTCCACATCTGGCACGCAAAGCCAGATTCATTTAACAACTGGATTTCTAACTGAAGAGATGCGGCGATTGGCTGAACAACGGTGGCGAGAAAAGCCGTTAAAACCCGCTTAGCAAACCACCCCTCGCTTAGCGACAGAAACCCTGGGCTCAGTTTGTGCCCGTAAGTCGAGGACTCACTGAATTGTCCCAACAATCTCTCTTCTCCAGGAACAGTCTCCAACTGTTGCAGAATTTTTGCATTTCGAAGCGCACCGATTCAGGAAGTGTCTCTTGCTTGCAGCCCAGAGAAAACGCAAGCGCAGCCTGTTTGCAAACTCTGTGTGTTTGTGTTTGTGTGTGTGTGTGTGTGTGTGTCACATTTGTTAACATTTTTCAACCCTTCCTCCCCTGCATACACACCCAGGAGTGGCAATTTTTATTTGATTCGGTTTTCTGGCAGCAAAATATTCCTAGCTCTCTCTTTCTTTCTCTCTCTCTCCCCTTCCCTCTCTCACTTTCTCTCTCTCTCCCTCCCTCTCTCTCCTTCCCTCTCCTCTTTCTCTCTCCCTCTCTTCTCTCCCTCCCTTTCTCTCCTCCTTCTCTCCCTCCCGCCCTGCTCTCTCTCTCTCTTTCTCTCTCTCCCTCTCTTTCTCTCTCTCTCTCCCTCTCTCTCTGTCTCTGTCTCTCTCTCTCCGTTTGTTGTGGGTCTTAAGCAAAGATGAATGGCCAGTTTCTCCAACAGCAAACCTCCCTCCCTCCCAAGCATGGAAAAAAAAAAAACACCGAAGGAGGCTCGGCACCGTCCTCCTAGGCAATTAATCATCTTTGCTGCATAATTTCCAGGAATAAATATCTAAACCGGGAGACAAGGTGAGGTTGGGAAAGGAGGCAGGCGGCGGTTTGAATCATGCATGGCATTTGCTCAGCTTAGCATACAATCCAGCTTGGTGGAATGAGTCCGCTCAGGGGTTTTGTTTTGGAAACAAAAGGGCCTGCCCACACACACACACACACACACACACACACACACACACAGAGAGAGAGAGAGAGAGAGAGAGAGAGAGAGAGAGAGAGAGAGAGAGAGAGAGAGAGAGAGAGAGACCTTTGTGCATTGAATACAGCTACAGGGTAAGATTTACATTAATCTTGAGGCGAAATGCTCCAAAGGCTATCTCTTAATAATAGAATTCCTTCCTTCCTTCTTTCCTTTCCTTCCTCCTTCCTCTTCCCTTCTGTTCCTTCCTCTCTCCCCCTTTTTTCCTCCCTCAGAATACTTCCGTCTCCTCTCCCTCCCTTCCTCCCTCCCTCCTTCCTTTCTTCCTCCCTCCCTCCCTCCCTTCCTTTCTTCCTTCCTTCTTCCCTCCCTCCCTTCTCCTCCCTGTCTCCCTTTTTAAAGAACAGGAAAAAAAGCAAGGATGGTGACTGAAGTTGAATAATTCAAGAACTTTCTTTCAAGTTGCGTTCAAATTCTGTCGCGTGCAGCAGCGTTTTGGTGTTGTTGTTTTTTTAAACAAATCCAAAAAACGCACACCGAGGTGCATGCGGGAACCAAAGGCATCTGCCGTTCCCGAGACACGGATTTTGGGCAGGCGACAAATTGTTCACCATATGGTTAATAATTCACAGAAGGAGCAAACAGGGATGTTAAGTGCTGTCAGTTTGCTAGGAGGTGAAACCGGGAAGACTTCAAAAGGAGGAAGGCGAGGATGTTCGGAGAAAACATATGGTGGGGAAAAGGGGAAAAACGTCAATTCTCAGCCATCTCTGGTGCGAAGTTGCTTTGTTGCGTCAAGCTTAGAGCAAAACCGTGGCCCTTGGGAGGCTTCGCAGGATGGGAAGTCAAAATCTTTTTGTGGGCACCGGGATGCCTACCCTGGCCCAGAATATCAGCTTGGCTGGCTGGCTGGCATCCAGAGGAGAATTTGGGGACCCCTGAATTAGAGCGGGACCCCCTTCTCCTTTTTGCTTTGCAGAAGTGGGTGTATGTGTGTGTGCAAGAGAAAACAAAGACTTATAAATGCAAATGGTTGAAGAGGACGCTAAAAGACTGGGTCCCCGTGTGGTAGGTGTGTGTGCACACATTTTGAGCGGGAAACAGATGGCGGAGAGATCGCTTCGGAGTGCGACAATATGGCTGGCAAAATGGCAGCTGAAGTATTCCACCAGCAGAACGGGGAGGCTTTCAAATCCCCTTAAATGAATCTGCGGCTTTCCAAAAAAAGGAAACCCAGAATGGTGCACGAGGCAGATCTGGATAGGAACATCTTTCCTGCTAGACCCTTATAACATTCCAGACAAATAGCTGTCCGTTCTCTTCTTAAAAGCCTCCCATGATGGAGCAAGTATTTTGCATTTTGATCCCTTGTCTCTATTTCTGTGGTATCCGAAGTGCAAGGGTGCTTTTCCCCCTTTCCAATTGGCAAAATTAATGCAGAATATACCCCACGCTCATCCTTGAGGCGACCGGAAAACTTGATCGTTGCCGTTTTTGTCTCGCCACCCTCAAAAGTCCCCATGAGTTGATCTGTTTCATTCATCCCCCCCCCCACCGCAGCTGATGTGACAAATACAGGGATGGAGACATCCCTTTTTCCTTTGAACTTAGAATAATATGGAATAGAGCTGGAAGGGACCTTGGAGGTCTTCTAGTCCAACCCCCTGCTGAAGCAGGAGACCCTAGACCATTTCAATCAATCAATCAATCAATCAATCAATCAATCAGAATAGAGCTGGAAGGGACCTTGGAGGTCTTCTAGTCCAACCCCCTGCTCAGGCAGGAGACCCTAGACCATTTCAGACAGGTGGCTGTCCAGTCTTTTCTTACAAACCTCCAGTGATGATGCACCCACAACTTCTGAAGGCAACTTCTGTTCCACTGGTTAATTGTCCTGTTAGGAACTTTCTCCTTAATTCCAGGGTTGTGACTTAGTGAAAATGCTAGACGGGCCATCTGCTAGTCAACTCAACCGTCCCATCACCAAAACATCATCTTTCTTCCCAGTTGAACATCTGGAAAGTCCAGCCCAAAAATCAACCGTTCATTTCTGGCAATTCTCTTCTCTTTGCACGTAACAAGCAGGAGTGCATCCCGTCTGAAGCATTCCAGCCATATGGGAGGGCATCTCTCTCCCAGATGGGCCCCAGACCCCAGCTGTGCTAAGTCACCCAGCTGTGAGTCTATGGAGATTCTCAGTCATCCAGGTGAAGGTTGTCCCAAAGGTGTTTTTTTCAGGAGGCAACTGGACTTTCTTGTTTTCCTTTGAAGACCTTTTGCTTCTCAACCCAGAAGCTTCTTCAGCTCTGACTGGATGGTGGGGAATGGAAGGATTTATACTCCTTGCAGACAGCTCGCCATTTGCCTTCTTTTATAGAGTTGTTAAGGCCACTTGGCAAATGGGTGTAGAGCCTTCTTGGCTGCAGGATGTTTTCTGCCCTTCACTGTTGAAGACAGGTGCAGGCTGTTGGGGATGAGTCTGTTGTCTGTGTCTCAAATCGAAGTACGAGACTACAGGAACCATGTGCGCTTCAGTTTGAGATGCAGACAACACAGACTCATCCCCAACAGCCTGCGCCCGCTTCAACGGTGAAGGGACCCAGGGCAGAAAACATCCTGCAGCCAAGAAGGCTCCACACACATTCACACTACTCAGGGGACCCTGAGGACACAGATAAACCTCCAAGTGGCCTCGACAACTCTCTAAAAGAAGGCAAATGACCAGCTATCTGCAAGGAGTATAAATCCTTCCATTCTTCACCATCCAGTCAGAGCTGAAGAAGCTTCTTGGACGAGAAGCGAAACATCTTCAAAGAAAAAACAAGAAAGTCCAGTTGCCTCCTGAAAAAACACCTTTGGGTCACCTAAATGTGGTTGCACACATCCTCCAGCCTATGAGGTGTGCTTTTTAGCCGATAATACCCACCCCAACCAGTGTGTTGCCTTAAATAAAAACCTAGCAGGAGGACAGGGCCTCTGGCATCTTGCTGGATCAAGGAATTGAGTCTCCTTGGCAGAGAGATCTGACTTAATACCACAACAACAACAACAATAAAGTTGGAAGGGACCTTGGAGGTCATCTAGTCCAACCCCCTGTTCAGGCAGGCAGGAAACCCTACACCATATTTCGGACAGATGGCTGTCCAGTCTCTTCTTAAAAACTTCCAGTGTTGGAGCATTCACAGCTTCTGGAGGCAGGTTGTTCCACTGGTTAACTGTTCTAACTGTCAGGAAGTTTCTCCTCAGTTCCAGGTTGCTTCTCTCCTTGATTAGTTTCCATCCATTGCTTCTTGTCCTGCCTTCAGAAAGTGCTTTGGAGAAGAGCTTGACTCCCTCTTCTTTGGGGCAGCCCCTGAGATACTGGAAGACTGCTATCATGTCCCCCCTCGTCCTTCTCTTCGTTAAACTAGACATACCCAATTCCAGCAACCGTTCCTTGTATGTTTTAGCCTCCAGTCCCCTGATCATCTTTGTTGCTCTTCTCTGCACTCTTTATAGAGTCTCAGCATCTTTTTTACATCGTGATGACCAAAACTGGATGCAGTATTCCAAGTGTGGCCTTACCAAGGCATTGTAAAGTGGTATTAAGACTTCACGTGATCTTGATTCTGTCCCTCTGTTAATGCAGCCCAGCACTGTGTTGGCCTTTTTGGCAGCTGCAGCACAGGGCTGGCTCATGTTTAACGGATTGTCCACTAGGACTCTGAGATCCCTCTCACAGTTACTACTATTGAGCAAGGTACCCCCTATACTATACCTGTACATTTGGTTTTTCTTGCCTAAATGTAGAACACACAGAGTTTGCCTGAAGTGAAAATTCATCAGCCGGGGCAGCGGCATGGAATTGCAGGATTAAACGTATCATTTGTCACATCCCATCCTGTTTACACCCATTTCTCCCGCGCTTGGGAAACTGTCAACTAGAAATGTGATTTTTCCCAAACAGCGTTCCCCTTCCCCAGCCGGAAGATAGAGCCGAGTAAGTAACGAATTGCAAAGAAAAAAAAACCTCCTAAACAAACGTTCTTTGTTACAGATTCTTTTGTTTCCAGTTTTCTTTTGTTTTCAAACCAAACAAGACCCTACTTCACATCAGAGGCCCCAGACAACAGACATAAAAAACGGTTCGGGCCTTAAAAACAACAGCTAGACGTTTCTTTTAAAGGGAGAGCTAATTCGAAATTGTGCAGATCGTGAGTTGGCTTTACAGGACTGAGTTGGCGTTATAGGATTGTCCGTTTTGTCAAAGGTGCCAAGAGTGGGGGGGGGGAGGGAGAGAGAAAGAACTGGCCAGGGTTAGTGGGATTAAAAAGAAAAACAGCCCAGTCATTTAGCACGTGCACACATGAATGGAGAAGAGCCGAAAACGAGGATTTGGGAACATGAGGACAAAGGTTGATCAATTTATAATAGCAGAATTGGGGAGGGGGGGGAGAAACAGTTCACACACACAAAAAAAAATGACTAGCTTGTGAGGGTCTGGCCTGGAAAAGGTGGAGAGTAACCCTCTGAATCCATCCAGGGTCTTCTTAAGCTGAGTGTGCAGCTGGCTCAATTTCTACGTCAAAAAGGGGATCTGTTTTTCGTCAGCCGGTTGATTTCACCGCAAGATTGCGTTAAGTTAAAAAGCTGTGTTTGGACAAATACTTGTCTTCCTTGCCAACAGGCTTCTGTCGTTAATTCTGGTGTGTGTGTGTGTGTGTGTGTGTGTGTGTGTGTGTGTTTTAAAAAGAAAAAAAACAAACACACTCTACGCTTGCAAACAGAAACATGCAGTCTTTGTTCTAACACACACACGCTAAAAATCATCCCCGTTCAACATTTATGGCACAGACCGTTGGCACTGCTGTCGGTCAGCAGACCTTGGAAGAATTGATATGGGAGAGGGGGTGAAGGAACAAAGAGATGTGGGTGTGTTGTCATTTTTCCATCTTTAAGGTGTGGAGTACCTTCGCAAGTGGTAACTATAAATCTTAATGCAATGGTCCCAACAGTCCAGGACCAACAATTGGCCTTTCGGGGTGACGGCTATGCCAACCGGGCAGGTGAGACCTTCCCGAATGAGGATATTGTGGCCCCCACCTTTGGGGAAATGTAAGATTTCTTTCCGGCTGCTGTCAGCCACAATCAGATCCCCGCGGGAATCCACGCACATGCCGGCGATGCAGCGGAAGTCTTCGTTCTCGGAGAAAAAGTGACTGATTTGTCGGCCCAGCTGTCCATCTGGACCGACGGAGCCGATGGAAAAGCCGCCCTCCAGGTGATGCTCGTGTTGGCGGTTCTCCAGATTCAGACCCAGCCCCTGGGTGAAGTAGATGGTCCCTTCGGCGTCGCAGGTGACAAATTTAGGACGCACCGCGCTGCAGAGGCAGCTGTACTTCACTACCCCGACACCCCGGTCCACCGTGAAGCACCACAACTTGCCTCCTTCCACGTCGGTCACCACAAACTGCCCGGAGGGCAGGGCGGTGATGCCCCAGGGCTTGCTCAGCTGGCTTCGGTGGCACACCACGCAGTGTCCGTCCATGGTGTACACTTTCATCGAGTTGTCGTAGCTGTCGGTCACCCCGATCAGCCCGTGGCAGTTCATGGTGACCGACAAGGGTGTCAGGTTGGGAAGATCGGCTCCGAGGAAGCTGAGCACAAAACTGTCTATGCCGCTGGGGCTACGCCGAATCTCCTTCAAAAAACCCTTGCGAGTGAAGACTTGGATCCGGAAGTTGCCCCGGTCCGCCACGAGGACCTCTCCCTGCGGTGTGACGTGCAGGCTGACTGGCAGGTTGAAGGTGCCCGGTGTGTTGCCCTTGGAGCCCATTTTCTTGAGAAAGTGGCACTGTTGGATGCTGGAGGCCGCCTCGGACATCCTTGGCTTTGCAGGCGAAGAGCAAGGGGACAATGGATGGACCTCTTCTGCTTCTCTGAATGACCCTGATGCTTCCGCCGTTGTCTCCATCAACGACTCCTCGACGTTGATGCTCCGCGGTTTTTTGACCACTTGTCCTATCTGGAGGGGTCCGATATGACCAACCTTGAGGAGCTCCACCTCCTGTAGAGTCAGCTCCTTGGGAAGGCTGTTCATCAGTTCCGGTTCTTCTTCCTCTCCCTCTTCCTCTAGAAGGGCGATGTCTCCCTGTTTTATTTTGGCCAGGAAGTAATCGCAGCGCGAGACAATCTGGACCTCGGCAATGTTGAGGAGGTAAGCCTGTTCCTCCATGGTCTGGCTGTTCACCTTCTCCACCTCGGAGAGGGAATTGGTGAAGAACTTCCGCGACCTGGCCAACTCTTCTTGGACCTTGCGCTCTTCTTTGCCGTACTCTTGAAGCACCGCTTTGTACCTGCCTTGCAGGTCCTTCGAAACCCCTTCCAGAGACACCTTCCTCTTCTGAAGGTCCCCCATAAGTTCTCGGAGGCGACTCAGCCTGGCCCCAAAGTCCCTCCTCTTCTCCTCGGCCGCTTCTTTGATGGCCACCACGTTGTGATGCTTCTGGAGATGGTCCGACTCTTTGCAAGGCTCACACAGCACCAGGCCACAGCTCCGACAGAAGTGCTTGGGCAACCGCCGTGCGCAGGTTTTGCACATGAGAACGCCCACCGTCTCGGTCAGCCCTGCCGTGTCGATGATCTTCAAGACGGTCAGGTTGTCGGTCAGCTGAGCCAGGCTGGTGATCCGGGTGATTTTGCTGCAAAAGGGGCAACGGATCCCGTTGATGCTGCAGGCCAGGAGTTTCTCCGAGCACTGTTTGCAGATCGTGTGCCCGCAGTGAAGCAACTTGGGCCGCAGGTGGTCTTCCGTGAAGCACTCCATGCAAATGGGGCACTCCAAAACTTCCCGGAGGGCATCCGAGTTGAGTTGAGGGGCAGCAGCCATAGCGGTGGAGCCGAGGTGAGATGGGTTGCATCAATTCCCCAGATCTGTTTGGGAGGGGTGGGGGGGAGAGAAGAGAGAAATGAAAGAAAATATTTTGTAGCTGACGTTTCAAAGGAGGAGTGCTTGGCACTCTCTGAGATTGGCCGTTTTCTTGCAGACGTTTCGTTACCCAGCTAGGAAACATCGTCAGTGTTCTGTGTGGCCTTTCCATGATGAGCTGTTTTCAGCCCATTTCTCTTGTCTCCCCCAAATCCATCTTCTGGAAGACTCAACGTTGACTCCCTTTCTCAAAGAAAAGCTTGGGGGTACACCCCCAAGGCATCTTTGCTTTCCTTTTCATCCACCCACCCCTGGTTTCCCTTCCTCTAAGGCAGGGCTTTTCAACCTTTTCACCCATTGTACCACTTTTAGGATATGGCAACATCCGGGTACCACCAGTCGCCTAGCAAGGTGTCAAAAACCTGATAAAGTACAGGTAGTCCTTGACTTACAACAGTTCACTTAGTGACTGTTCAAAGTTACAACGGCACTGAAAAAAGTGCCCCCCCCCCAAGCCACAGCCAAGCAAGACACCTGCCTGCCCACCCGGTGGCACTCTTCCTCCTGTCCGAGGTTTTTATTGTGAGCATTTCTGTTGAGAATTGGCAGCAGGGGTGGGGTGGGGGGTGTTTGGTTTTTATTCCCCCCCATCTGCTGGGTGGTTGCAGCAGGTTTTGGTCACTTGACATGACCCTGGGACACTGTGACCGTCATAAATATGAATCAGTTGCCAAGCATCTGAATGTAAATCACAAGACCCTGGAGATGCTGCAACATTCCAGCTGATCTGCGCTTCTTCTGGGCTCAGCAGAAGCGCCAGGATCAGTGCTGCTTTCCAGCTGATTGGTGCTTCTTCAGGGCTCAGCAGAAGGACCAGGATCAGCGCCGAGCTCTAGCTGGAGCCTGGTGCTGATCCTGGCGCTTCCGCTGAGCCCTGACAGCCCTGCAGCTCCAGCCATCTCTCACTCAGACTTGTGCGGTGCTGCCACCGGTTCAGCTCATTCCCCTCCCCCACTACCACTTTTCTAGGATGGTCGCGTACCACCTGCCAGGTGCCAATGTACCACAGGTGGTACCCGTACCACTGGTTGAAAAGCCCTGCTCTAAGGCACCACGGAGGCCTATCCTGCTCAACCCAAGATGCATGCCCCAAATGTAATTGCAAGGGTTTGGGTGTGAGCCAACCGTTGTGTAAAGTCATTGTCTCCCCTACGTGCCTGCACACTGCAGCCAAATATCACAGCCTCAAATCCCGGAAAGAATATCAGGAAGGAATTAAAATTTTATTGACTTGAGACCGTTATTGAACGTGTGTGGTGTGGGTTGAAAAGGGCTGTGTGTAGCAATGCTTCAACTCTCCTGTGTGAAGTTGGGAGGTCTGTTCCCCACCCTCCAAGGTAGCTTGGTCAACAGGGACGAAGCCAGGATGATGGGCGATAACCTAGTTTGGAAAGAGCTTTGAGGGGTCCTTGGTTGTTTTCTTGCAGACGTTTCATTACCCAAACTAGGGAACGTCATCAGTGCCAGAAGGGAGGGAGAGAGCGAGCGCAAACTTTACTCTCTTCTAGAACTGATGATGTTCCCTAGTTGGGTAATGAAACGTCTGCAAGAAAACAACCCAACTCAGAGAACACCAAGGACCCCACAGTCCTCCTCCTCTTCCTCTTCACAAATCCCATTGCTTTCTAGCACTGATGGTGTTCCCTAGTTGGGTAATGAAACGTCTGCAAGAAAACCACCCAGCTCAGAGAGCACTCAGGTCCCCACAGTCCTCCTCCTCCTGTTCCATTCCACCCAACCCACTCTCTTCTAGCACTGATGATGTTTCCTACTTGGGCAAGGAGATGTCTGCAAGGAGGCAACCCAGCTCCAAGGAACCCCACAGGTCAACCTTGAGCTACAATTACTCTCTGTTATCGGAAAGAACTTTGACCGACACGATAAAATTCAGGGTTTTTTCCTCAATACCAGGCTAATTATTCTCTCTTGAGCGGATTTCTGAGCTCTGAAGGGTACTAGGTTCTGAAGAGGCCTGCAGATCTTCAACCCTGGACAAACCACAGCCCAGATGCTTCTGGGACCCTTGCCAGAAAAGATCTGCCTTCATTAAAAGGGATTCTCCTCCTTGCAGGATGAAGTTCTGTCTGTCTGTCTGTCTGTCTGTCTGTCTGTCTATCTATCTATCTATCTATCTATCTATCTATCCATCCTCTATATCTATATTCTCTTTCTATATCTCTTTATCTCTTTGTCTCTTTATCTATCTCTATATTCTCTAGATCTATCTATCTATCTATCTATCTATCTATCTATCTATCTATCTATCTATCTATCTATCTATCTATCTATCTATCTACCTACCTACCTACCTACCTACCTACCTACCTACCTACCTATCTCTATCTCTATCTCTGTGTATGTCCAGTAAGGAGCAATGACATTGGTCCCAAACCATGTCACGCATACTGGAATTCAGCCACCCAGGCCCCTTTCAAGGGGAGAGGGTCGATTCTGCATTATCAAGAGATCGCAGGGCTGGGGGCCGCTGGGAGTCCGTTGTATCCTCCGACCTCCTTGAAATATTTTTGCTCCGGGGGGGGGGAATGTGTGTGTGTGGGAGGGGGAGAGAGAGAGAGACAGAGCTGCGTTTGGCTCCCATCAGGAGCGCATTCGCTGTCCCTCCGACGGTTCTGGCAAGGAGGGGCTCGCTCCCTCTTCGCCAGCCTGGGAGGGGGCTTTGCCAGATCAGAGGTCCCTCGGGGCGCGGGGGAGGGGGCGAAGGAGCCCCTCCGTCATGCTCCCAAGTTTTGCACGGGGTGGGGGGGAAAGAGAGAGAGAGGGAAAAAAAAAACCTTGCAACGACCGTGCGTCTTTGCCAAGGAATTTCTGGAGCGCATCAGAAGGCGTTGGGGAGGGGGTGGGAAAAAACAGACCCCCCAGGAGGCGATCGCGGGGGGTGCAGACGTTGCCGGGGCTGGAGGGGCTTGCACGAGACCCCCCACTTCCTTCCCGCTGCCCCCCCAGCCCCCTGCCCCATTTGTCCCCCAAGCCAAGCGGAGCCCCTCCCTACCTGCCGGTTTTCCTCTCTCGTAGCCGCACCAATCTTTTGTGTCCCCCCCCCTCCCCAGCCACTCTCTTCCGTCCTTCCACGCCTGCGCAAAAAGGGACGCCGCCTCACCCCCCCCTGCTCCCCCCCTCTGTTCCCTCCCCTCCCGGCCACGTAGCCTCTCGCCAGGCATGATGGGAATTGTGGTACTTTCGCCTCCCCGGGACGGAGTCCTTGGTGGAGGCCAGGTGACCGGGCGGGAGAAAGCGGCGGATTCGCTTTCGCTTTTTGTTTTATTGATTTGGGCATCAGCGGATTTAGATCCGTTTTTAGGGCGTTGCGCGCGCGGACTTGAGTTCATTTCGCGGGAACGAAGGGACAGAAAAGCAGAAGGCGCTTTTGGGGGAGAGGAGACTCGGTTTTTCGAATTTCCTCTTTCGGTAGATCAGTGGGAGGTTTATATATCTACCTGTCTACCTACCTACTTTTCTTTTGCCTTTTTTTAATAAAAAAAAAACCCTCTCCAATTTGATTATGGAATAGAATAGAATAGAATAGAATAGAGAAATGTAGAATAGAATAGAATAGATATAGAATAGAACAGAAGAATGAAGAATAGAATAGAATAGAATAGAATAGAATAGAGAAATGTAGAATAGAATAGAATAGATATAGAATAGAACAGAAGAATGAAGAATAGAATAGAATAGAATAGAATAGAATAGAGAAATGTAGAATAGAATAGAATAGAATAGAGAAATGTAGAATAGAATAGAATAGAATAGAATATAGAATAGAACAGAAGAATGAAGAATAGAATAGAATAGAATAGAATAGAATAGAGAAATGTAGAATAGAATAGAATAGAATAGAATAGAATAGAATAGAATAGAATAGAATAGAATAGAAGTTGGAAGGGACCTTGGAGGTCTTCTAGTCCAATTCCCTGCTCAAGCAGGAAATCCGACACCATTTCAGACAAGTGGCTGTCTTAAAAACTTCCTGTGATGAAGCACCCACAACTTCCAGAGGCAAGCTGTTCCGCTGGTTAATTGTTCTAACTGTCAGGAAATTTCTTCTTAGTTCCAGGTTGCTTCTCTCCTTGATGAGTTTCCATCCGTTGCTTCTTGTCCTGCTTTGGAGAATAGCTTGACCCCCTCATCTTTGGGGCAACCCCATAGATATTGGAAGATTGCTATCAAGTCACCCTCGTCCTTCTTTTCATTAAACTAGACAGACCCAATTCCAGCAACAATAGACCCTACCTTGAGCTGCAAAACACCGGGGTGACCACGAGGGGGCAGTCAAGAGTTAAACATCTGTGTAGCTGCTAAGAGTTAACATTGATAATCAATGAAAACAAAGAATTTAGTTGCAATTCTTTTCTCCTCTCCATGCTCAAAAAAAGCTCAAAACAGAAATTGGAGGGTGGTACTGGACACAATCCAGCTAGTCAGCACCCTATGTATGTATTTGATTTATCTAAGCCTTTTACTTAGTGTTACTTTTAATGTCAATGTCACTTAACAAATTACCTTTTTATGGCTACATTTTATTGCTACAGCTATTTTCCGGCTGGTGTTTATTTATCGCTTAATGATACAATGTTTTAATGCATGCATTCATCCCTCATTTTAACTGATTCTTGGTTTTTTTTCTCCCTTTGGCTGTTATTGTAAACAGCTTGTAGATATAGTTTGAAAAGGAGGCCATGCAGAAATAAATAAAACAATGCCTGGATACTTTGTAAATGTAGCATCCTCTCCCCTATAAGTTCAAACTGGAAAAAAAAATAACACTCTGAGCTATAAGTAGCAAGTATCCATTCACTGAAGAAGTCATAGCCATTAAATTAAGCACATCAGTATGCCCTATTATGCCCTATGTTATCACAGAATAACAGAGTTGGAAGGGACCTTGGAGGTCTTCTAGTCCAACCCCTGCTCAAGTAGGAGATGTTATGCCATTCTGGGCAAATGGTTGTCTAATCTCTTCTTAAAAGCCTCCAGTGTTGGAGCATCCACAACTTCTGGAGGCAAGCAGTTCCACTGGTTGTTCGTATGTTTTAGCCTCCAGCCCCCTGATCATCTTTGTTCCTTTTCTCTGCACTCTTTCTAAAATCTCAATATCTTTTTTTGTGTTGTGGGGACCAAAACTGGACAGAGTATGTATTCTAAGTATGTATTCAAGATGGACAGTGATTAATATTTACATGTATTTATATGTAAGGGTGTAGGCATATAATGTGTTGTACATAGCATGTTTATATGTGTGTTGTGTATGGGTACACTTTTGAGAGCAGGCAACAGGATTTCATTTTTAATGTGTGCCATTGTGCCCACAGTAAAAAAAAAAAAGATAATAAAGGTTCTCTCTCTCTCTCTCTCTCTCTCTCTCTCTCTCTCTCTCTCTCTCTCTCTCTCTCTCTCTCTCTCTCTGTCTGTCTATCTATCTATCTATCTATCTATCTATCTATCTATCTATCTATCTATCTATCTATCTATCTATATCTGTCTCTATTTATCTCTATCTCTATCTCTATTTATCTGTATTTATCTCTATCTCAATCTGTCTGTCTATCTATCTTAGGGGTCTTCAAACTTGGCCCTTTTATGACTTGTGGACTTCAATTCCCAGAATTCCTCAGCCAGCCTCCATTTTGTTTGTTAGATTTAAGACAGGGCTCTTCAAACTTGGCTCTTTTATGACTTGTGGACTTCAACTCCCAGAATTCCTCAGCCAGCATGATCTACTTACTTACCTACCTACCTACCTACCTACCTACCTACCTACCTTGTAATCTTACCAAGGCAGGTAAATACACCTATATCAACGGCCCGGATTAGCCACAATACGTGCTTGATTCCTATTTCCCCAGAGGTCATGGATAAAAATATCTTTTTATCCTTGGGGTCGTGCCTGGGTGAAGGGAGATATCCTGCAAGAATGAAGGGGAAAAAGAAAAAAAAAATGCAAATTGCTCTGGCTGGGCTGTCTTAATTTCTTTTCCCGTGTTTCTCTTTCGGGCGCAGTTGCTTAGTGAATCCACTGGAGGGCAGCATACATCCACCGAAAACATCTTGAAGACGCGACAAAATGGTTTCCTTTCTCCCCCCGCTGAAAAGAGGGACAGAATTTGTGTTTCATAGGTTTCAGGGGGTGAAGAAGTTGTTTTTCCCCTACTTTATATGCCGCATCTGTGCTTAAGTCCCTTCACGTTTAACAGGGTGTGTTATTATCCACATTGGCCTACTGAAAAATCATTTAGCCCAATTGCTAAACGCTATTAGTTGGTAAGAATGAGAACACCAAGCCAAATTACAAGATAGAAAAATATCAGAGTCACCTGCTGTTGACTTCAACCTGGTTTATGGCCAACCGGAAGCTTGGCAAGCGAACCGCCGGGGTAAATGAGTCTGTTTTTTATACTGTTGACTCCCAACAGCTGGCATTCAAGTTCTGATTCAGCATATAGAATAACAAGAGTTGGAAGGGACCTTGGAGATTGTCTAGTCCAGCCCCCTTGCTCAAGCAGCAAACACTCAAGCAGCAAAATATTATATATTCTATTCTATATTCTATTCCATGCCATATTTTCTTATTCTATTCTATTCTATTCTATTCTATTCTATTCTATTTTCTATTTTCTATTTTCTATTTTCTATTTTCTATTTTCTATTTTCTATTCCATATCTATTCTATTCTATTCTATTCTATTCTATTTTCTGTTCTATTCTATTCTATTGTATTTTCTATTTTCTATTTTCTATTTTCTATTCCATATTCTATTCTATTCTATTCTATTCTATTCTATTCTATTTTCTATTTTCTATTTTCTATTTTCTATATTCATTCCATATTTATTCTGTTCTATTCTATTTTCTATATTCCATTCCATATTTATTCTATTCTATTCTATTTTCTATTTTCTATATTCCATTCCATATTTATTCTATTCTATATTCTATATTCTATATTCTATATATTCCACATTCTATTCTATTCTATATTCTATTCTGTTCTATATTCTATTCTATTTCATATTCTATTTTATATTCTATTCTATTCCATATTCTATTCTATTTTATATTCTATTCTATTCTATTCTATATTCTAATCTATATTCTGTATTCTGCATTCTGTATTCTATATTCTATTCCATATTTTCTTATTCTGTTCTTTTCCATTCTATTCCATTCCATTCCATGAGCTATTTATTAGTAGTCTTGTTTGTCATGATTTTTTTAATTTATTTTTTGCAAATCCTTTCTCTTCCCTTACATCCCTTACATGGGTGGGAATTATCAATGGGTCGGGAGTGTCATCAGAGAGAGCCTGGTGATGGGTCTCGTGAATAGGGAGATTACACCAGGTCAGGTCATTGCGAGGTGAACTGCTGGTTTGGGGGGGGAGAGGGGCTTTTGTGGGTTTGTTTGGGGTCAGTGCCGTCTCTGGTTGGCTGTGCGGTTGATTTGGATTCTGAAAATATTGTTCGGAGGAAGCATCTTCAAAACCTACCCAGACACTGGGCAGAATGGCCTTGACTCTCTAACCCTAACCCTAACCCTCCCTGCAGGTTAATAATAATAATAATAATAATAATAATAATAATAATAATAATAATAATAATAATAATAATAATAATAATAATAATAATAATAATAATAATAATAATAATAGTAATAATAAAGGTGGAAGGGACCTTGGAGGTCATCTAGTCCAGCCCCCTGCCCAGGCAGGAAACCCTCTACCATTCCAGACAAACGACTGTCCAGTCTCTTCTTAAAAACTTCCAGTGTTGGAGCATTCACAGCTTCTGGAGGCAGGTTGTTAAGAATAATAATAATAATAAAGTCAGAAGGGACCTTGGAGGTCATCTAGTCCAACCCACTGCTCAGGCAGGAAATCCTCTACCATTCCAGACAAACGGCTGTCCAGTCTCTTCTTAAAAACTTCCAGGGTTGGAGCATCCACCGCTTCTGGAGGCGGGTGGTTCCACTGGTTAATTGTTCTCGTTGGCAAGTTGTGAAGCAAGCATTTTCACACACCAGCGAAATTGCCCTTCGAAACCCGAGATTGGGGTTCGCGAAGTGAGCCAAGCTTTGGCCACGGCAGGCCGGTCCTTGACTTACAAAGTGGTGCCACGTACCTTTCTCTTGGCCTCTTCCGCCCTTTCTGCCCTGGCAGATTGTCTTGAAAGAAATGGAAGCTGGTTTAATTCAACTCCTCTGGGGTGAATTATACTTACACGGGCATTCTGGTCTGCAAAGACTTGCCTTAGAAATAAAAGGGAGGTCTTAAATTTGAGTTCCAGAATAGGCCCAGCTGTCCAGAACACATGTAACCAAGTTGGTGTCAAAGGTCATCCTTGATTGGCCCTTAGGGAAGATGATAATGGAGCAGATTAGACTTGCAGGGGTTCTCAACCTTGGCAACTTTAAGACTTGTGGACTTCAACTCCCAGAATTCCTCAGCCAGCTTTGCTGGCTGAGGAATTCTGGGAATTGAAGTCCACAAGTCTTAAAGTTGCCAAGGTTGAGAACCCCTGGATTAGAGGATGGGAGCTTGGAAGGACCTTGCAATTCATCTCTTTCAACTTCCTGGGCAGAGCAAGAGAGCACTTATGCGGCATCCGTGCGTCAAATTACAAGGGAACTTCCTTTTATACACAGAAGGGGCCTCGGAGGTCTTCTAGTCCATCTTATTAAGCTGTACATTTATTTGATGCATAAAACCTTCGCGGAACCACGAAGGCTCGTTGTCTTTTCTTATCCCAACCCTGCTCTGTTTCTCAACCAGAAACGACAGAACTTGGAAACAAGAAAGAGCTGAAGTCCATGCCGTTCATCACCTACCTCTCCGGGCTGCTGACCGCCCAGATGCTCTCCGACGATCAGCTGATCTCCGGCGTGCAGATCCACTGTGAAGAAAAGGGCCGCTGCCCGTCGACCTGCCATCTCTGCCGCCGGGCGGGCAAGGAGCAGCTGAGCCCCAGCCCCGTGCTGTTGGAGATCAGCCACATCGTCCCGTTATACATGCTCATCCAGGACAACGAGACCCGGGAGGTGAGCAGGGAGCGAGCAGACAACTGTTAACGGACCACGGATAGGATGGATGGATGGATGGATAGGTGTGTGGGTGTGTGGGTGGATAGATAGATAGATAGATAGATAGATAGATAGATAGATAGATAGATAGACAGACAGACAGACAGACAGACAGACAGACAGACAGACAGACAGACAGATAGATAGATAGATAGAAAGACAGAGAGATAGACAGACAGACAGAGAGATAGACAAAGACAGAGATAGACAGAAAGACAGAGAGATAGACAAAGACAGAGATAGACAGAAAGACAGAGATAGACAGAGAGATAGAGATAGAGAGACAGATAGATAAATAGACAGAGATAGACAGACAGATAGATAGATAGATAGACAGACAGAGAGATAGAAAAATAGGACAGAGAGAGATATAGAAAAATAGACAGATGGAGGGAAGGAGGGAGGGAGATGATAAGAGATACTAGATAGATAGATAGATAGATAGATAGATAGATAGATAGATAG